TGCAACGCCTCCAGCACGGTCATTGGTGCGGTTCTCATGCAAAACAAACGACCCATTGCACACTTTCGCTCTAGTCTCAAGGGTAAAAATCTTTCCCTCTCTAAGTATGAAAAAGAGCTAATGGCTTTAGTCCTTGCAGTACAAGAATGGCGCCCTTATCTCCTCGGAAGACACTTCATTGTGAGAACCGATCAACGCACTCTCAAGTATTTATGGGAACAGAAGATAGCACTCCTTGGTTATGATTTCAGCATTGAATATAAGTCAGGAACAACCAACTCTGCTGCGGACGCCTTATCGCGAAGAGGTCAACTAACTGAAGTTTTTGCTTTATCATCTCCCTCCCCCCAACGGTTAGAGTCCATACGAGATGAGAATCAACACCACCCAGAACTCCAACGGCTCCACCGATTAGTACATGATGATTAAGCTATGGGACCTTGGCAACTAAAGCACGGGATATTATTCTTTAAGAGTAAGATCTTTCTTTCCAGTGACTCTTCTTTAATTCCTCTCATTCTAGGAGAAATTCATGGGGCCAGCCACGAGGGATATTGCAAGACATTCCATCGTCTGCGAGGGGTTTTCTATTGGAAGAAAATGAAAGATGCGATCCGTGCTACATTTGCCAAAGGCACAAAGCTGATTTACAAGGACCGGTAGGGCTTCTACAACCTCTTCCCATTCCCATGCAGGTGTGGACATATATTTCTATGGATTTCGTGGATGGATTACCAGCTTCTAAGGGAAAAACCACTCTCTTAGTGGTGGTGGACCGCCTATCAAAATATGCGCATTTCGTTCCCATGTCTCATCCTTATACCGCCACCACCGTCGCTCAGGTATTCTTTGATCACATTTTCAAGTTACATGGCATGCCCCACTTAATTGTCTGTGATAGGGACCCAACGTTTACAAGTGCATTTTGGCGTGAGCTATTCAAACTGTAAGGGACTCATTTCAACTTCAACTCTGCCTGTCACCCCCAGACAGACGGGCAAACTGAAGTAGTAAATCGCACTATCGAGATGTACCTTCGGTGTTTCACAAGTGAGCGGCCGAAAGAATGGACCAAATGGATTTCATGGGCGGAGTATTGTTACAATATAAGCATACATACTTCGACACGAACCACTCCTTTTGAGGTAGTCTATGGTAGACCTTCACCTACTCTTCTCTCATATATTCCTGGGACGGCTAAAGTACAAGCCGTAGAAGTCTCGTTCCTTCAACGTGATGTTGATGTTGTTCTTAAGGAGCTTCGATGCCGCCTTGAGGCACAGAACCGTATGAAGCAAGTTTATGACCGCCGACATGTGGATCGAGAATTTGAAGTTGGCGATTTGGTCTATGTTAAGCTCAAGACTCATCAGTAAAATTCGGTATCCCGACGCACTTCACAGAAGCTCTCTGCTCGCTTCTATGGTCCCTTCAAGATAATCGGGAAGATCAGTAAAGTAGCTTACAAATTGGAGCTGCCACCATCCAGCCTCATTCAGCCCATCTTTCACGTATCCGTCCTCAAGAAACATGTGGGCACTGGAATAGACGTCACCCCTAGTCTCCCTGAACTTGGCGTTGATTTCTTTGACAATTCCAAGCATCCTGAAGCCATCCTAGATGTACGGGGACAAGGGAAGGAACAAGAGTTTCTTGTTAAATGGGTGGGTTGTGATCCATCAGAGGCCTCTTGGATCAGTCGACAGGAGTTCGGCCAAGACTATCCAGAATTTCCTCACCCTTGAGGACAAGGTTTCTTTAAAGGGGGAGGAGTTGTTACAATCACATGCCACGTATTGGTTTGCACGTGTTCAATTGCATGTTTAGGACGTGGACTTCTTTCTCATTGAAGACTTGGTCTATATTTTTAATATAAGATTGTTATTTAATTTCCTTTATTCCTTTAGATTCGGTCAAGCACGTTTCTACACGTTGGTAGTTAGTTGCTAATTTCTCTCACTGTAACGTTGATTTTTAAGCCTATTTATTGACTGTCATATGTGGAATAAAAGATAACTATTCAAATCAATTTATTTGTTTATATCGCTTAATAGCATACAACACCCTTTGTTGTTCTTTTCCATTCAAAAATAGCTCGCAAGCGTACCACCCAGCTCTGAGGACGAGGCTGAGGCCGTGGATCCGCACGGGACTATAACATCAAACTATTGAATTTAGTTCTAGTTTGGTTAGAATTTCTCAAACCATAAAATGGTGGTTCAGATGGAATAATGTTTCAAATTACACTTAACGTCATCGCTTTAACTCATGTCGAAGTTGATATTACCCATTGATATTTCTATAAATTCATCAAACCCCAAATATTTTTATTTATACTGATATTTTCATCGTGAAATCCCTTCTTAAGTTCAGGTATCAAGACTCGTAATGGAAAAACAGCTTGACTTGTTACGATTCATTCAAAACAAGTTGAGTCATTATAGAAGGCTTAGTTTAGTATGAGGATTTAAATTATGGTGATTTAAGTTTTGATTTTTGAACCAAAATCATAATTCATAATTTTAGGTCCAAATTATGATTCTAAAATCAGATGCAGATCAGGAGTTTGACTCACCCAAAATCAATAGGGGTGGTTTTAAAATCAGGGGTGATTCTGGTTTAAAACATCACATTATGATTCAAATCTTGAATTAGGACTATCTAAACCAAACCTGATTCTGGATGAGTCAAATCAGAACCACTTTTTAGTTTTTGTAAATGAACACTGGTTTGAACTAGAATCATAGTTTCGGGTTCTAGAATCCATATATCAAACATGCTCGAAAAGATTCAGAATATATTTAGGTGCTTGTAATAATACATATATAATAAATGTAATACATTTTTAGCAAATTCATTGAAGTTTTTCAATGTTAATATTCACTTAATTTTGTGGTAGCTTTTTCAAAAGCATTTCAAACCACTATCAAGGATTCGATGAATGTTTTACAAGTCAATTCCTAATGCTCACAGCCTTGCGCAACTCGAATTGGAAAGACAGTTTTAGGTACAAACTCCGATGGAAATGTTTTACCACGAGAGCGGAAAGATTTTTAGCGGTAAAATCACTCAAGACCACCCGGACATAAGAAGAGGCTACAAGCTTAACAATGTTGAAGACTTGTATAATGATCCATTCGAAACAAGTTGAGTCATTATAGAAAAGATTCGAAAGATATTTAAGTGATTTTAATAATAAATGTATAATGTTAATACATTTTTAGTAAATTCCATAAGGTTTTTTTAATCTTAATAGTCATTTAGGTCTCGTTTATTTTACCAATTCGAGTTTTGTTACAGTAAAAAGCTCACAGAATCAGTCACATCTAACTTTTTTGTTACAGTAAAAAGCTCTCACATAAAATCACATCTCAACTCGATTTAAAAACTCAAATCAACGAACTAAATGGGCCTTTAATTTTATAGTGGTGTTTTCAAAAACATTTCGGACAACTATATGAAGTATTCGATGACTGTTTTATAAGTCGATTCCCAATGCTCTTCTTTTCTGAAGTGTATAATGTTGTGTGCAAATGTTGTAAAGAGATGAGTTCTTAAAGGCAAATACATATCGGGTTTTAAAGAAAATTAAATAATTTATAAAAATTAATAAAATTATATTTTTATCACGTTACATCATCAAATTTTTATATTTGATGGGTAACCATTACGGAGTAACTATTAAAAATTCATCCACACACAACTGTATAGTATTAAAAAAAAAATTTGAGGATGAGATTGACTTCAATTTAGGTATAAAGAAAAAAGCATAGAACTTCGTATGCTTGTTTTGAAAAAGAACAAAATTATCAAAATAAAAGTTGTTGAGAAAAAACTCCTTAATATTATGAATGTTTATCTGTTCTTTTTTTTTTTTTTTTTTTTTTTTTTAAGTTTGTTGTCATTTTTTTAATTTTCCTCTTAATTTGTTTTTTGTTCTGGTTCTTTTTGGGTTACTGTTTTCATGGGTAGCGAAAGGGCAGGGTGGGTTACCATCCACATCCCTGCCTTCATCTCCACTTAAAGAGTGGCGGGGTGGAGTCAAAAATTCTCCATTGAGGAGTATCCTATACTTACCTCTTCTCTTCTTAATCGAATGTAATTAAGCATTTTAAAATTATTATAATTTAAAATAAAAATAAAGTAAAAATTCATTATAAATTTAGACCGAAATTAAAGATTTCTCAATACAATTCGTGCCTCTTTTTTTTCAAAGTAAAGAACTATATTTAGTAGTTACCTCTTTTTTAGTGACCTCTTCTTCTGGTTGATTTTTTTTTCAATTAATATAATTACCCATTTTTTAATAAAAAATGATATAAAAATTCTATGCACATATATTTATATAAAATATATTATATATAACATATGTATATCGGGATGAGGACAGAGTAGTACTTTATCCATCCCTGTCTTGCTAAGATTTAGGGATAACATTTTATCCTCATCCCTGATTATTATCGTCCATCCCCTTTTTATTTAGTGTGAACCCCTACGGGCCCTATTCCACAGAAAATACTGCCATCCCTAAGTGTTTTTCAGTTCATTGTCTTTTTTATTTAGGAAGTTTCTCCAGTAAGACTAGAAAAATAGAATTATCGATAGTTCCATTTCTTTCAATCGTTTTTAATAGTCAAATTTATATTAGAAACTGTCTATTTTACATATTTTTTAATTTTATCTGATTTTAACTAAATCTAACGGTCAAAAAACTAATTTTACCAGTGACCTACTGGAGACAGCCATTTTTCTTTATTTTCATTTTTACATGTTTTTGTTTTTAGATGATGATGTATTTTCGGTTTATTGTTGTCTTTTATTTGTTGCCGTTTATAAGTTAATTTGACGTTGTTAACGTGTTTCATTTGTTGACGTTTATTAGTCATTTTTTGTTGACGTTTTTCCCTGCTTTTGTCGATTAATCATTGTTGTCCTTTTCATCCGCGGTCGTTTAATCATTGTTGTCATCTTTCCCCACAGTAAAATTAGGGTTTCGATTCTACGTCCACATTGATTTTGTGAAATTTTCGATTAAATTGGGGAAAATGACGATTTCCGCGGGAAGTATCAGCTTCATATCCCAATTTCAAGTTCAATGTCGGGCTTTTCTCATTCCATGGTAATCATAAACTTTCTCTCTTCTGTTTGGGTTTAGGGTTTATTGACATCCTTTTTTCCCCCTTTTTGGAGCTTTGCTTGAGAAGACGAAAATCCCAAAAAAAATTTCCTCTTTTTGAGGGAAAATCCCAGTTGAATTATGCAGCTGTAAAGTTTAAATTTTTATTTATTCTGTTTCTAAAACCTTCTTTGGAGTCAAATTTAAATTTGATTAGGAAAAAAAAAATGGGGTAGTGATTACTAAAAACTTGGATTATGTATTAAATAGGTTTATAAACAATTAAGACCCGAGAAATGGTGGTTAGATTTTTTATTTTCTGTTTGGAATTTTACTCGAGAAATAATCCCACTCGAATTAAGCAGTTGTATATGTTCAATTTCCAGCTGTAAAGTTTAAATTTTTATTTATTCTGTTTCTAAAACCTACTTTGGAGTCAAATTTACATTTGATTAGGAAAAAAAAAAGGTTAGTGATTACTAAAAATTTGGATTATGTATTAAACAGGTTTATAAACAATTAAGACCCGATAAATGGTGGTTAGATTTTTTATTTTTCTGTTTGGAATTTTACTCGAGAAAGAATCCCACTCGAATTAAGCAGTTGTATGTGTTCAATTTCTAATTATTTGCTCCCAAATATTTTAGGGGTCAAATTTGTGTTTGGAAAAAAAAAAAAACTGGGTCATGCAGGATAAATTGATTAATAAACAATAAGACCAAAAAAGAAAAAAAAAATTAATTTTGTGGTGCTTTTATTTTAGGGTTAAGAATAAAGGTGCAATTACATGCTTGAGAAACAGAGATTACAGCTCTTCAGTTCCTGTTAGATACATTCCTAAGAAATCTTCTCAAAGTAACAAATTGGATGGTTCTGAGCCAATGAAGGTTTCCGAAAAGAGAGAATTTTGTGAGTTTCCTCAAGTAAGTCCTTTGAGCAATGATGAGCTTAGCCATGGTGGTGGAACTGGAAATGTTGTAAAGAAAAGCTTCAATTTTGATATGAAGCCTCAATATCAAAGCCCAATGCTCCTTAGTAACTTACACTTTAATGATGCTGAGCAAGGTATCACCAATCTTTTTTTATCTCAATATACATGCATATATATATATATAATTAGATGTAGTATGCACGTTCATATATATCCTTGTATTGAGAATTTTTTGATAGGATATGGAAAAGAGTCTACCAATACTATGTTATTTTGAATCAGACGGGCTTTGTTAAAATTCCCTACTTTGTTATTCTTTGCTGTCAAGTGTACATGTATGTGTGTATATGGATATGTGCATGTGTATATATGTGTATGCATGCGTAGGTGTACATGAATGCATTTTCATATACATGTACATATGTATTAAGAATTCTCTGTTATGATATGGAAAAGACTACTAATATTATGTTGTTTTGAGCCATCAGATCATTATCGGCCTTAGTTTGATTTCATAACTTTTTTATTTTTATATGGTTTTGATGCAATTTGCCGGTCATAAACACACAACTTCATCATATCATCTGTCAAGTAAATAACATAATTTTGGCGGTGTTTGTGAGGTAGAGTAACCTCTCTGCTCTTCAACTATGGCAGTGATATAGATTATATATAGAATGATTGAGTATACAAGTCTTCATGAGATTTTTTTTTTTTTTTTCATTTTTGAAACAATTAAGTCATTATTTATATTGGTATGCAACTAGATGATATAATGGAAGAGCCTGCGGAGATTGCTGAGGATGATTATGCATTGGAAGAGCCCGAGGAAGTTGCGGAAGAGTTAAGTATACATCAGCAGAACGGATGTTTTGAACCGGATGTATTACAACCTTTGGGAAATAAAACTAAGCAGGACGCAGAGAACATGGCTGTAAAGTTACTTGCAGCAAGGTTACGGATTTATTTATTTATTTATTTATTTTAAGGTTTCTTTTAGTTTGTTACATATTCTACTAGCATTCCGATACTATAGACTCTTTTAAATTGAAAATCTGGATATCTGCTTGCAACAAAAGAATTATATCTCTTTCTGATGTTTTCTTTCTTTCTTTCTTTTGTTCCTTTTTTTCCCCTCCTTTTTTTGCAGAGCTTTCACCGCTGTTGAACTAAGGAAGAAACTGTGTGGAAAGAGATTCTGTCCAAAGATTGTTGAGGCAGTTATAAATGACTTCAAGAGCAGGTGCATTTTTAAATGGTTTACGTCTTTTATCAGCCAGTTCTATTGGTTCTTTGTATGGATGTATGAACGGAGTCTTTTTGGCCCAGAAAAAAAATAAAATTAGAAGTGGTTCATTATAAGATTCACTTGGTTTTAGTAATATCTCAATTTTTGTGTGTAATTGATTTTTCTAATTATGGAACCTTTTACTACTGTATTTCTCTAATTTACATTAGGGAATTGTGAAGCTCCAATTCTCATGAACATGCAGAATAGAAATCATTAATGTCCTGTGAAAGCTTGATCCTTTTGATTTTTGCAGAGGGTTGATCAATGATAGCTTGTATGCGGAGAATTTTTGTCACTCCAGATGGTCTTCCTCTAGCTGGGGACCACGGCGGATCAAGCAAGTAAGCTAGAAGTTGAGACTCGTTAACCTTTTCTTTTGTCGTATGGTAATATATCATATGGGATCTATTTTGATTCTGTCTGGAAGTCATTGCAATTTTTGAGAATGATTTAGCATAAATTTGTCGCTCTTTCGCTCTTAACTTGTTCAATAATATCTTACCGCTCTTAAACCAGGCCCTTTCCAGCAAGGGTGTAAGCGAAGTTGACGCAGAGAACGCAATACAGTTGGTCTTCCAGGACGGAGAAAAAGCTGATGGATTTCGGGGGTCAAGTCGCGGAATGTCAAAGCTCTCGATGGACCGCTTGTTCGTTCAGGCCTCAAAGCAATGGCTGCGAGGCCATGACGTGCCTAAAGAGACGAGGAAATCAAGGATCATCCGATGGCTTCAGTACCGTGGCTTCAACTGGGACGTTATCGGCACCATAGTAAAGAAGTTGGAATCCAATCACCCACCCTAGACACCATGACAAAACACTCAAAAGTTCATATGCCTTTGTAACAACAAAGTACTGTGGTCCTCCTTAAGGACCACAATTATCAATCCAAATATAAATTTGTATAATCTTGATGGGGATGGGGGTCTGGTCTATATATATATATTGGTTGCTTCAGGCTTGTCAGTCTACTATTACCTATCCTAGCACCCCCTAGTTTAGGTAGGTTTAGCCCTACATAAGTGACAACACAGCTAAAAAACATGCAATTAGATATTGGTGGGATCTCATATCCAAAGGTCACAGTGGGGTTATTCCATGTAACTAAATAGTCTCAATGAAAACCAATTTTTGTTACTGTACAGGGCTTTTCAACACTATTTAGTGCTATTCCAAAGGGAAGAATTAATATGGTTGATGAGATCACTTGGTCAATCATTATTGTGGTTTTGCATTTTTGTCCCTAAAACTCTTTTTTTTTTTTTGGGCGATTTAGTCGATGAATTTTCAAAAAATAATAGCAAGCGACTCTAATCGGAGTTAAATTTCAAAAGGAGTGATTACAGTTATTTAGCACTTATACTATTCAAAATTGAAATTCTTGTGCTTTGGCATTGTTGTTCTTAAAAAGCTATTATGTTGCCAATTTAGTCCTTGAATTAAGCTATGAACTTTCGAGGATTAAATTACTAAGAAAAGAAAAATCAAGGCCAAAAGTTTAACATGAAAAAATTGGTAGGGTAAGATTTTAAGAACCTAGAAGTGACTAGACACTTTTACATGCATTTAATAAAAGACTGATATCGCCATTTTAACAGGTGAAGTGATTGGGGTATTCATCTTTCCGTTGAGAGTTTGAGTTCGAGTCAATCTCACAGGTCTACAAATACTTCTAAGTTGTACACACAGAATATATCGACTCTTTCGAAATTTGACGAGTCACACTTTCTCCTCCTCTCAAGTACCAAACACATTTTGTACCAGGCAAAAAAATTACAGAAAACATTCCATTGCCCTCTGTTACAAACAACATGCATATCGGATAAAATGGTCAAAAGGTGGTACATATATAATAAATTATTAAGTGTCTTTGGTCAAATGATCAATCTACCAATCTGAATGCCATGACTGAAATGTAGACATCAATCCATCCACAGCAATACGTTACATAAAACTGTTACTTTGTTTTTAGGAATTTATTTCTGCTAGCATTATGATAGTGTCATGACTCAGACATCTTAGAGAGAGAGAGAGAGAGAGAGAGAGAGAGAGATGCATGGAGTGTTAGAGAGAGAGAGAGAGAGAGAGAGAGAGAGAGAGAGAGCGAGCATGTGAGCACTGCTGGAAAGACTGGCTCTATACACACAAACACAGAAAAGGACATAGATAGAGAGATAGAGAGAGAAATTTCATGGAATCCCATTTCTCTTATAATAATTCTAATTACATAAATCCAAAAGTCCCAATCATTGTTTTAACCTCCACATACCCTTCAGTCTCTCTCTCCCTCCCTCCTAAAGACAGTCAAGACATCACTGTTCTCAAGGTAGTACAAACATTAAAGGAAACAACTTCAATATGTACTCTATATTCTTTGTATAACTACTACACTTGATAACTGAAAATCTCATGAATTATACTAATAACTTCATTACCCACAAATCTATAATATAGTAGTAAAATTACAATCTTAATTGAAGAAGAGAAGGGGAATATTCACCCTTAAATTCCTCCTACAACATTCTCTCCACTGCCCTACTTGGACTTTCTTTTCCAATGTAATATGCACAAAACTACATAGTAATATAGCCGCCCACTTTCTTGGGATCCGTTACTTTTCATTTTTAACACTAATATTCATCACCGTACGTGGTTGTAAAAACAAAACTGTGACATGACACAGAATGTAAAAGAAGTTATATGACACTTTTAATGTTACTTCTTTTAAAAAAACTTTGAAATGGAGTCATCCGAGAACGCAAAGGAGCAATTAGACGATTCTTGTGAAACCATCTCCCTCGAATTCGTCGGCAGCGGCGGCGGCGGCGACGGAATGGCTTGTAATCCTCTCTTTGAGACATCAGCCAACTCTTCTGGCCTTAGAGGTTGATCAACTTGCCTAATCTCCTTGAGCATTGCCACAATGTCCTTCATTGTTGGGCGATCATCAGCTCTTGTGCTTAGACAAAGGAAGGACACGGCCAGTGTTTGGAGCATCTCATGCATTGTTGGGTCAGCTCTTCCTCTAAGCTTTGGGTCAAGGATGTCAGGTGGGTCCCTCTTGCTGGCCAAATGGTCACGGACCCATTGGACCAAGTGTGCGCCACCTGGCAAAGTGGGGTCCAATGGGTGCCTCCCTGTTAGCACCTCTAGAAGAACAACTCCGAAGCTGTAAACATCGCTTTTCTCGGTGATCTTCTGCATTGAAGCATGTTCTACAATCCACACCAAAAACAAATAATCAATATGCACATGTCATGTTTTTTGGTAGTCTAAAAAAATTAGTTCATCTTAGATAATATTACGAATGATCTTGATTAAACATAAATATAGCTTTTTGCATGATTTAATTTCGGTAATTTTGCAAAATTACGGTATTTTTCGGTAACTAGTCACAAATTTATGGAAATTTTAACACCAAAAAAAAAAAAAAAAAAAAAACCACACAATTTTAGGGGAAGTGCCCAAAAATGTCCTTGTAAGGATTAAAAAGAGAATTTAGCTAGACAAAACACATAAATGGCCAAAAACTTTAGATCCCTTTTCAGAAAAATGTTTTTACTATTTTAGAACACCAAAACACAATTTTTTTTTTCTTTTTTGTGGCTAAACAAAATTAGTTCAAACTCGGATAACAATAACACCAATAATAATTCTTGAAGAAAGAAATTAGTTAAGTTAGTTGACTTACCAGGAGCCATGTATCCATAAGAACCAGCAAGATGAGGTCTTTGATTTGGCTTTGAGAAATCATGATCTTCACCACCGCTACCATTGGAATTCACAACTCTAGCCAACCCGAAATCGGCAAGAAAAGGCTCATTACGAGGACCCAACAAGACATTCATGGCCTTGACATCTCCATGCATGATTGCAGGCACACAATCATGGTGTAAATAAGCAAGAGCATGAGCAACTCCCAACACAACATCATATCTTGCTTCCCACTCAACCCCGCCGAGTCCTTTCGCGTTATTCGCACCATGAAGCATAGAACTCAAGCTCCCATTGGGGAGATAATCATAGAAAAGAAGTTTCAGATTCCTGTTTGATCCCCAACCCAAGAGCCTAATTATGTTCTTGTGTCTTATTGAACCAAGTGTCCTTATCTCAGATGCAAAGGCACCTGATTCCTCTGAGGACCACATTTTCTTCACTGCTAAATTCTCCCCATTTGAGATTGCCACTTTGTAGACAACCCCGGAGCTGCCGGTGCCAATGACATTGGCAGATGTCAGGTTCCTGATTATGTCGTCGATCGAGAAATCGTGCTTCTGATAGAAAGTCATTTCCCAGCTGCCATCCTCTTCCAGGAGAGCTTTAGTAGCCATTCGGGTGCGGACAAGTACATAGATTGCTAGCAGGATCAGGACTGCACTGGCACTTATGAGGATTGACATAAGGAGTTTCGTGGCTGCTGACTTGTGGCGCTCGCCCACGGGTGTCACGATGCCTGATCCGGAGATGTAGAGGCCTTTGTTGGAGGTGAGGTCGCTGAGGGGGAGGCGGTGGAAGAACGGAGTGTTTGGCAGTTCACCTGAGAAGTCATTGAATGAGACATTGAGAGAGACAAGGTTTTCGAGGTTTGTGAGGGAGTTTAAGTCTCCTGAGAGGTTGTTGTGTGAGAGGTCAAGGATTCCAAGCTTGTCAAGATTGGAGAATTGTGGTGGGATATGGCCAGAAAGTTGGTTGTAGCTCAAGTTCAGTGAGATCTCAAGTGATGGAATTTGGCCTAATTCCTTGGGGATTTCGCCCGAGAAGGCGTTGCTTCCGAGGTCGAGCATTTGCAGCTTGGTGCAGGAGAGGATCTCAGATGGGATGGTCCCTGAGAGCTGGTTGTTCCCCATATTGAGCTTCATCAATTCTGTTAATGACCCAATTGTGTGAGTGAGTTGACCTGTGAGCCTATTGTTTGACATGTCCAAAAACTGAAGGCTTCTGGGGAGAGAATTGGGGACAGGACCAGTGAGACCATTTGAATGGAGATCAAGAAACTCCAGGCTTTGGCAACCGGATATTGATGGTGGGGTTGCGCCAACAAGACGGTTGCTGCTCAAATCGACGAAATTCAAGCCCTTCAAGTTTCCAATTTCCGATGGAATAGTACCACCAAGCCTGTTCTGATTCAGTCTCAACCTGTAAAGACTAGTGCAGTTTCCAATATCAGGAGGTATGAAGCCTGACAAATCATTGGCCAGCAAAAGAAGCTTTGTCAAATTCCTCAACCTGAAAACCTGTTTCGGTATTGGACCGAACAGATTGTTGTATGACAGATCAAGAGCCTCAAGTTCCACACATTCAGCTAAGCTCTCAGGAATGTTGCCTGTCAGCCTGTTTTTCCAGGCAAAGAATAGAATCAAGCTCTTCAAGTCCCCGATTCGCACAGGAATCCCACCGGAGAGGTCGTTGTTGTCAACTTCAAAGTGAGTTAGAGCCGTGCAGTTTGAGATTTCTGATGGTATGGAACCCGAAAACTGGTTGACACTCAGCTGAAGCTCCTCAAGCTTGGACAGCTGACCAAAACTTGTTGGTATGCTTCCTCTGAGGAGATTTTCGGAGAAATCCATCACTTTGAGCTTGCTGCAGCCTCCTATCTCGTCTGGGATTGCCCCAACTAGGCTGTTCTGCCATAGAAGTAGGCTTTGAAGGTTTTTGAGTTTCCCAATCCCTCTTGGGATTGAACCAGAAATTGAATTCTGGTATAAATATAGATTCTGCAGCTCACTGCAGTTTCCAATCTCTTCCGGGATAGGACCCGAGAGAAGAGAAGTGTAGAGAGCTATTGTTTGGACTTTCCTCAGCATTCCAATGGAGGAAGGCAAGCTTCCGGAAATGCTGGTTTCCGCAACGCCTAACATGACCAAGTTGGTGCAGTTTCCAATCTCCCATGGCAGTTCACCTCTGAGTCCTTTATTCCCTCCTGCTCTAAACACCTCTAGCTTGCTCAATGCCCCAATACTCCTCGGAATCTCACCGCTCAATCGGTTGTCGTAGAGCGTCAAGTACACGAGGCTCGAGAGGTTTCCAATGTCTGCAGGGACATCTCCTTCAAGAAAATTGGTATTGAGAGACAAAGTCTGCAGCCTGCTCAGCCTGCATAGCTCCGCGGGGATTTCACCGGTGACGAAGTTGTCGCTTACATCGAGGAAAGTTAGCTCGTGGTATTCCCCGAACTCTTTCGGGATTGTGCCAGTTAGATTGGTTGAGGATAAGATAAGTGTCTTCAAGTTCTTGAGGGGCTGAAAATTTGAAGGCAATGATCCTTGCAAGTCCAATGATTTCAAGCTTATCTCCACCACTTGGCCATTCGAATCGCAGCGGACGCCGAGCCAGTTTTTGCATGGATTGGAATCTGCAGGATTCCATGAGCTTAAAGAATCTGTAGTCGAGATGTTTAAGCTGTTTTTCCATGATAGAAGAGCTTGGCCTTGTTCATCAATGGAATGGCAAAAAGAGAAGAGAAAAGAAAAGCTTATTGTTGTGAATAATAGTAAAGAGAAGGAGAAGTTATTGAGAGAAAGTTGGAGATTACTTAGAAAAACAGGCATTGTTATTGAGAGAAGAGAAGAGAAGAGAAGAAAGTGATCTGTTTTGGGATTGTAGAGGGTGGAATTCCATGTTTTGTTTATAGAAGAAAAGCATTAAGAAGATCTGGATCGAGAGAGAGAGAGAGAGAGAGAGCAAAACTTCTTTATTCCATTTATTATTATTTTTATTATTATTGGTGTAATGGTTTTGTTGTTAATTGTTGTGAGAGATGGTTTGATGCAGATGGGATTTTTTTTTTAAAATTTTTCATTTTTCAAAATTTTTTGGGTTTTTATTTATGTTTAATTGGGTGTAGTTTTTTTATTTAATTATTTTGCTTGAATAGCGTCTGTCAATAATGAGATGAAAGTTTTTTGGATTATTCTTTCCAAATGGATTTCAATCTGTTTGTTATTTTCTGCAGACAAACACTACTTTTTCAATGTGTGTAAATATATATATATATTTTCTTCTCTTACAATGGAAGCTGCATAAATGAAATTGGTGGTGCTGAATTCTATGGAAGAACATTTTTTTTACCATTTTAATTGTTAAGTTGGAGGTTGTACCATCTTGCTTGGTCTTTTTAGGCCATATGTATTGAATTTCCTGATTCTAGTAGTTACTTTTTAAGTTTACCAACTTATGTCATAGTTTTTACTTTCACTTGTAATTTTCTTTTAATTTAAAAAAAAAAAAAAAAAAAAAAAAACATAGTGGACAGTAAAAATTAGACTTTTACTATATCTGCCATATTAATGAATTATCTCTCAAACTAATCCCAAAAGAAAAAGACTCATTAAATTGTATTAGCTCTTATAAATAGTTAGCTAAATCACTTTATCCTCTTGAATAAGCCAGAGTACAAAAGTGGTCCATAAATTTCTTTTTGTGGTCACAAATTACTAAGTCAGTCATGTGCAATTTTCTCCCTAAGCTTTATTATCTATTTTAGAAGTTAGCCTGCTAACTAATTAAGTACTAGTACTAGATCTCTTCGAACAACTTTTTGAGGAAAAAAAAGAAACCACACACACTGTTTTGAAGGCCTTCAATTTATAAAATCATTAATTGAACAAGATTTGCTAAAAAGGTCAACTGGATTTTTTTTAAAAAAAAAAAAAAAAAAAAAAAAAAAAAAAAAAAAAGTTTTAGAAATAAATTATTTTATTTATTTACTGTGAATTTACCTGCATTTTGTACTAGGGATCAGCATATTATTCTATAGAAGCATAAATATATATATTGCTTTTGTTTATTCATGAAGATAATGTGTGAGGAATTGGTGGAGTAGTGAAATGCACATGATAGTGAGGAATATGTAATATACTAATGTTATGGTTTTTATTAATTAATTAAAAAAAGTAATATTGTGATTTTTATAAACTGCAAATCTGGTCATATTGTCGGGTGGTCATAGTAATAAAGTACTAAATCAAAAAAAAGTAAGGTATGCTGGCCTTGAGTGGAAGGGACAACATCAAACCAACTTATAAAAAAGTTTTAAATTAGTATTTGTTCTCAAATCAAAACCCAAAAACATGCACAAAACGAAAAATAAAGCAGTTTTATTAAAAGAATTGCATAATTATTGTGTCAAGGGCTTTATTGGAAGGAAACAATAGATTTACAGCTTTCCTTTTTTTTTTTCTGGTTTGTTTGTTTCTTGGAACAATATGAAAGTAACATGCTTTCATAGGAAATTTAATGGGAAGGTTGTGGTATATGATTGCAGCTAGGTAATAGTAGATAAAAACAATAAAAAATGAAAAAAAAAATAGTATTAGGTTTAAAAGAAGAAACTTAAATAAAAATCTAATGGCCTAGAATTTTGCAATTTGTTGATGTTTTTTGTTTGTCACTTTTTTATAGGAAAATTAATGGGGAAATTAGTTGTGGTATGTGGTTGTAGCTAGGTAATAGTAGATTCAAAAAATTAAGACTTTATGAAAGGTATTATATGTAATTCCTTCATGTTAGAGAAAAGTTGTTGTAATATTCATTTTCTTTGGATTTGTTCAGATGAATAAATTGATGAAGAATTGCACCTAATGCAGCTTTATTGATTAAAAGGGTGGTCCAGTTTTCCTTCAAAAAGAAATTGGGATATAAATTCCTTAAGCAACAATCATGACTAGGGCCAGATGGTATATATAGCTAGCAATAAAATTGTTATCTTCCATAAAAAAGCAATAAAATTTTTATCAGCTGAATTAATAACTTTAAAACCATGATTTCCCTTATGCTACCAAAAAATGTCCAAAACCATGGACTTGGAATAAATTTTCCTTCCAATTGATAAACACACACAGAGAACGATTTTTCGATGGTTAAGAATTGATTAGTGGTTACTTATCAATATAGAAGTTCGATAATGTGGCGTGATAAGAATTCAATCTCACTAATTATCTTATATTTTTGATCAATTATCCAATTTATTACAGCTATCTAGTCAATATCACATAAGTCAATATTGAAGTAATCAAAACCACACCCACATATACATATATATATATATATATATATTTATGCATGCTAATTACACAATTTCTTATTTAACTATTAAGCAATAATTGCTATTGGCAACCAAATCCGTGGCACCTAAAAATATCCACTTGACATGGACTCACTGAAATTGAAGTAAAAAACGTTAAGTGTGTAAATATTAATCTATTTTGAGGATCTTTTGCCACATCCCGACTATAAACATTTTCCTTGATTTTCTTTTAGTAATGATAGATTTTCCATGAACCCAATCATCCATCAATGGGCCCCATTTGGTTCATTTGTAGGAAGATGGGAAACTTTCAATTCTCTCCCCCACAGTCCACAGAGCTTCACTCTTTGAAAACAGAAAGAAAAGAAACTTATTATGAAGATCTTGGACATAGTTGATAGGTACTTTTTGACATGAAATGCTGAAGTACCTAACAGCATGAATACAAATTACTAAGAAAAGTGAAAAGGAAAAAAAAAAAAAGAAAAAAAAAAAGGGAAAATTATATTACATTTGTTAGTGAAAAAGAGAAGATCTATGAGGCTAAAGTAGAAGCAAAGAGACACCAACATTAAAAGAAGGGAAAAGGACATACATAGGCTAAAGATAGGGAGAGAAAAATAATTTATGCAAAATGGCCCCTCCTCTAATATTATATCCCCCACCACATTAATATTATGAAAGTTTTTAGTGATCAAGGAAAAAAGCAAAGCCCCAAAAAGGTTCCTAGTCTAAGAATGAGAAACAAAGGATATTTTTGTAGGATATTGGACTTGAATATACATGTGTATATATGCACACGGATGGAATGATGTCATCTTTTTCACCATGCAGTAATCAGTTGTTGAATTGTCCTATCAGAAAGTTCACTCCTCATAAGAAAAATGGATAATTTTGAATTTTGTGCTTCGATATAAAAGAATATCAGAGTAGTAATGCCCAGTTGCATTTGTGAATTATTACATGAATAAAACCATATGAAGATATATACATATATATTTAGTAAATTTTAATAAAAATCTGATGGCTTAAAAAGGAAAAAGAGATAAATACTTTATGTGCTCCTTACACTTTTGTACTCTATAAATTTTCTTTTATAGATTTTCTCCTAGTTTATTCCCTAAATTTTTTAATTGCAATATTGTCTTTTTTTAAAAATATATATTTCAATTACACCCCAAGTTTCAAGATTATCAAAATACTGTATTTTACACTTCGAATAAATAAAAAATAAGCTATATGTACTACCATGTAAATTTATAATCTTTTGCTCCTAACTTAATTTTTGTTTTAAAAAAAAAAGACTCATTTGAGAGAAGAAAAGAAAGATATAAGTAGATAAACAAAGATAAAATATTGTTGCATTGTAATTTTAGGTCAAATTTTTTGTTTAATTCACGTCCTCCAAAAAAATGGCTCCACCACTTGCACCGATAGGATAAATTTATTAAAGTTGCCCTAAGTTTTCCAGGAATAAAATGCAAAGTTTTAGTACACTTTTTAAGACATCTTTAATCACTTCTTTCTTAAAAAATAAAAAATAAAAAACTTCGTTTATGATTTGTGATATTGGAAGTTTGAAAAACAAGTTGGTTGTATCTTCTCAAAGCTATAAACATCAAAGGTCAAAACAAGATAATTCAGAGAAAATTGAAAGAAAAAGGAAACTCCAATTACCCAATAGCACAAGTGAGATCATATATAATTAGATATGACTACATTTTTTTCTGGTAACCTATGTTTTCTTCTTGAAAATAAAAAATTGAGACACCAAATTTCTCAGGAACATCAAATCTCTTGATTGCATGCATGATGGAGTCCTATGAAAAATATTGGTTTCTGATTCATATATCTTATCAAGTAGATATACAATCTCTCATCAAGATGAATCCCACATGATTCAGTATCATATCTCTGTGCATGATCTTATGTTTGAAGATTTTACTTATAATTAGCATATAATTTAATCCATAATCCATTGATGTGATAGGTCTCATTTATTTCTCTTCAAAATGGTAATCAATGACCTTGAAACTAAGCTTGGACTATTGCACTCACACATTGGAAAGTGATTTGCTTATTAATCAAGTACAATAGTGGACATAATGCTAAGAGAGAGAAAAGAAAAAAGAAAGTAACCCATTTGCCTAAAGACACAAAAGAATAGAATTCGGATGATTTGGATCTAAATCACATTGAATAATTGTTTGGATTTTAGATATCACATGAATAATATACATATATATATATATATATATATATATATATCAAGTACATTACATTATCAGATTCAGATCCATGTGTGATAGGAATCTGATTTTTGTCAATGGTTAGTAGGAGCAAATATAAAGGAGTCACATGACAAGACTCTGAGACCGTTGGTTTTTCTTATGGCATTAGGAGCAAATTATTTGAAACACTGAAACATTGTGGCCAATTTACTAGAGAAAGTTCATGTTGCACTTATATATATATATATATATAATATATATATATAGGTGTCACATTACAATCTCTTCCTTT